AAAAAAAGCCCAGAATGTATTTCTCAGTTTGGGGGCTGAGAGGTCCAGGGTCAAAACACAAGCATCTCAGAGGGTTTCTTGCTGTGCCCAGAATGGTGGCAGCTTGGAGAAAGGACAGGAGGATAGAATTACTCTGTGTGTGAGGAGCCCTCTCCTATGGTGGCCATACTAATCATGTCGTGAGGGGCAAAGTCTCCCCGACCAACAGTCCTTGACATTTGCACTAGGGTTGTTTCCACCCGGGACTCTGGCGGCTGTTCACACTGTGGCAGATAGCCTCTGAAGTTTCTATTTCTACCGAAGCCTGCTCACCAGTAGTGAAATGTGGTTAGAGGCAGGAAGTGCAGCCCCAGACACCTGGTGCTGGCTTTCCGCAAGCCACCAGCATCCCCAGAGTGCACCTCCTCAGTGTAGGGCGCAAACTCTTGGGTCATTTTCTGAGGTGGTAAATAAATCTGTATCCCGTGTCCTGGCTCTGTAAAGCACCCAGCAACCTGTCCTGATGAAAATGCTTCCTTAAGAAGGATGGCCCAGTACAAAGTGAAGACTCCCTGGAAGAGGCCTGTCTGGATTTCAGATTCAGCCCCGGGTTTGCCTTCTCTTCCTGCTGCAGGCTTGGTTTCACGTACCTGAGACTGAAGGACAACTACATGGAAATACTGAACAGGGAGAATGACATCGAGAGGTGAGGAGCTGTCTGCACGAATGTGTGTCACTGGGAAGGAACTAAGTCTTAATCTCTGAAGTAAGCTGCCCAGGACCGTGTGAGAGGCAAGTCTGCCACTGCGGTGCTTCAGAGGCCCTGTCTGAACTGGGCCCTGAACTCAGTGGCGGCTCCAGCTCCGGAGCCCCAGCCATCTCCTGGAGAGATTGTCAGACTTGCCATGAGAGTTGTAGGCTCTAGCGATATTCTAAATGAGACACAGATATTATGACCCTTCTGGGCGGAGTCATAGCCTGGACTGACCCGTCAGCACTCTTAAGCGTTGATCCCAACACAGGGCTGGAGCTGGGCATCCTCTGAGGCCCAGAATATCCAAGGGGGCATCCACACAGTGTGGACAGGGCACAGGGAGAGGTGAAACGCCCCCTTCCTGCTGGTACAATCATTTGGAAATCATTCAAACTCAGCACCTACTTGGCAGCAGAGAATAAATGCCCCACTTTTCTGTTTCAGATTTGAATTGCTGGAAGTCCTCAGTTTCGACTCTGTGCGGAGAAGAATGAGTGTGATCGTAAAATCTGCCACAGGTGAGATTTCTTCTAGTGTTACACGGTGGCGGCTTTATTCTGGTGGGTAATTCTCTAGGACCTTCAAGGGTTTAGGACGTAAAAACTATTCCACATTTGTACATGTACGTGCAGGTGCATGTGTATGTGTGTGTACATTGATTGGAGTGTTTCTGTGTACCATAGACAACATGGGCTGTCATTCCTCAGGCATTGCCCGCCTCGATTTTTGATCCTAGACAGGGTCTCTCGCTGACTAGGACAGACTGACTGGCCAGCGAGCCCTAGAAATCCTTCTGTCCCTGCCTCTCCAGCGCTGACATTGCAGGTGTATGCTGCCCTTTTAAGCACGGGTTCTGGGAATTGAACCCAGGTCATCATGCTTGCAAGGCAGATTCCTTACCACCTGAGCTATCTCCCCCTCTCCAGTTCTAAAGGCATAGGTAATCTCTTCTATACTAACAACTTTGGAAAGAAATGGATCCTAACTAAGCCTCCTACAGACACTGTCTCATCTATGAATGTCTTACTACTGTGCTCCACACACATCTAAAAAGCAGCTCATGTTTTTGACTGCATTTAAGGACACGTAGTATGAGTTTGCAGATATTTCTGTACTAGAATTCAGAGTACTAACTACAGTGGATTTCTTGGATGACTGGTCGCTATGACAATGGCTCTTTTTTGCTAGCAGCACATTCTGGTTTGTGGCTAAAGTGTGGGATGGTGAAGGAGTAGGTGCAGTGGGACCCTTTGACCTGGTGATTCTGTATGATCTTGGCATTTAATCTCCATGTGGACTGGCACTTGCCTCCTCCCTGCCTGTCCTTCCCTGTCAGCATCTTTTCTAGAAGGCATTGTGAGTTAATCCCTTGTCACCCTCTTCGGAGGAATCCCAGCAGAAGTAGATATTCCCCACTGCTCTCCCTGCCCGCACATTGCACTGGATGTGAGCCCCCCAGCATTCGCAAGGCCCTCCTTACAGCCTCATAGCTCGGGTGTCAGAGGTTCAGCAACCACTGATCTCCTGGCCTTTGACCAGCACATGCTGTGGGTATATCCCCGTGTTGTGTTTGCATCCCCTCGCCACGTAGGCTGCTTGTCCAGCTGTGTTTCCCTTCCTGGATCCTGGCGTGAAGTGGCATCTCCTTCGCAGGTCCCTCACAGAATGCCTTCCTGGATGCCCAGGTATCCACAGCATCCACAGCATCCACACCAGGAGCTGCCTAGTATTCCTCCTGCCTGGTGTGGATTGTGTCTCCGGAGAGGCCTCACCACTCTCCTGCACCTTTCAGGGGACACTGACTGAACAACAGTCTTGTCTCTGTTGCCCATGTTTTCCCCATTTGCACCCCACATTGATACTTGCTACAGTTTGGAAATAGGTCAAGTGGGTACCTGTCAAATAGCTGTGCCTTGCAATTTGATTGCAGTCCTCAGCCCAGAAGTCCCATCCTGGACAGTTGATGAAACCAGTCACCACCAGCCTCTTGGGCCCTCTGGGTTTTCTCTCTACATACTTCCAATCACCCTCAGTGTTAGGGCCATAAGAGCCTGTCCTACAAGGAATCTGGGCATCCCACCTTCCTGGGAACATAAACCCTGCCATGTCCCTTCTGTAGCCTGATGCCACTGGGATGCACAGTGGTATTTCTTTTTCTTTCTTTCTTTTTTTAAATTGTTGTTGTTGGTAGTGGTGATGGTTGTGGTGGAGGTGGTTTTTAAGACAGGGTTTCTCTGTATAGCCCAGGCTGTCCTAGAACTCTGTAGATAAGACTGGCCTCAAACTTAGGGACCTGCCTGTCTCTGCCTGGTGGGATTTAAAGGTTTGCACCACCATAACTGACTTCCTGTGATGTTTCTATAGTTAACACCCAAATGCTCTATTCAGCATAGCACTGCATGCCTGAGATGCATTATTGCTGAGCAGGGTGACTGAATAGGACCTGAGACAGAGTTTCACAGAGTAGGCAGCCGAGGGTCGGGGCTGAGACAGTGTTTCACAGAGTAGGCAGATGAGGGTCGGGTCGGGTCAGAGACAGTGTTTCACAGAGTAGGCAGATGAGGGTCG